TATATATTAAAAAAGCTAAACTAAAACTAAATATTTATATGCTTCTAAATCTCACTGTAACACTGTAAATGTACAACTACTTTAATACAATTTTGGTTTTTCTACATCGAAATTCCACATTTAATTATATTAAAATTTTTATAACTGTTTGTGAAATGTAATTAGTCAATTTCAGAGTGAAAATTGTTTTTACGTAAATTTTTTCATGTACTCTTCAAAGTAAACAGCCAGGACAGCTACATATAAAGTGTGAAAGTCGTAGTTCACGATTTATAACCCTGTTCCACCTTGACTCCAGGTTTCTCAGGAGTGAAATCTTTAGGTCAGCGTGTAAAAGCATGTGATATCGTGTGATATGAACCAGCATCACGACCAGCAGCAGCTCACAGACTCATCAGAAATCAGTCCCACGCTCTTACAGCTGTTTTTAAGACGATATCCCACTATAAATACCCAGCGACAGAGAGGCTCTTGACCTCCAGGGCGGCTTGTCTTTGTATGGGCAAAAGAAGCGTCACAATCTGAGGCGTCTCATCAGACCTTCGACTGAACACAAGACGTTATCTGGAGCGCGTCGCACTTCTGCTGAGCTTCACATTACACTCACGTGGACCAGCTTTCAGGAACTCGGATTGAAAAAGTACAAAACGAGCATGAATAAGTGCGGGCAAAGTCTACGAGGCCAGCTGAACGCGGTGGAAAAACAGCCTGGAGGAGCTCGGACCTTTGAGCGGCTCCTTATCAGCCGATAAACAGCCAGAAATGAGCTGAAGTCACACCCACGTGACCTCTGACCCCGAGAGCTGACCGTCAGCAGCATCACAGAAGACAGAACATCTGCTACAAAGTTATTCTGTTGTGCAGCATCTTCTTGACAAAAAATTAAATGGAAAACACTAAATTTAAGGGAATGGAGATTAATTGTGAACAAACATTCTCAAAATTCTTCTTTCCTGAGCCATTAATAGTAAATTAATATCATGATAATATTATATATATATTTGGCCATATCTCTACATAAAACGGTAACATACATAACGGTTAAGAAAAACTAAGAAACATAATTATTTCAATGAAAAACCATCCAATGTGAAGTTTAAGTTTTTACTGTAAATTATATGATGACTTGTTATTTTCACTAACAAAAACTGTAAATTTAACAGTATTTTCCTGTAAAATTTATGCATTTAATGCATTTAGTGTCCCGTTGGATTTACTGTATTATAGTTTTCAGGGAACTTGCGGTTAACCAATTAACAGGTTTTTAACATGGCATTTATTATGACAAAGGAGTCAAAGGTTAATAATGTCATTAAAAAAACTGTAAAAAAAATTTAAATGCCCTGTTCATGCACTGAAACGCTCCAAAAAAACTACTGTAGGAACTAGTTGAAACTCCTCTCATTATTCCCGTATCTGCCGGTTTATCAGACACAAACTCTGCTACAGTGACGAAAACCCGCAGACGACTGCAAATCAATCTCCTCACCGACGCTTACAGAGAGCAGCGCTATCAGAGGCAGACAGTCTCTATCAAACACTGTGAACCGTACAAAGCTTCTCACGGGTTTCCCAACTAACAGCGTCTGTAAGAGCCAAAAATCCAATTGACATCAGCAAAAAATCACTTCCTCTTTCCGTCTCAGTCACACAGAAATGACTCAAACACTCGTGAGTCTGCAGCGTTAAACACACAGTCAGCACACGCCATCATCTCATATAAAGCAAACCATCCTGCATGACGCCAGCTTTCACGGCAAAGTATTTTCTCCCATAGAGACTTTAAAAAAGCAAGAATCACAACAATACAAACTTTGATTCGAGGCAAAAAAGTATATGAAAATCAGACGAAAAAAGACAATCACATGAAGCACTGCCAATGACATAATCAACTTAAAAACAATGGAGAAATATACAAGTATGCATTTAACTTTATTCCTATATATATATATATATATATTGTATTTTATTTATATGCATAAGTATGGCATTGATGGCATAGCAAGCGTTTTGTGGCACTTTATAAACACACACACATGCACGCACACACTCACACACTCACGAACACACACACACACACATATACACACACACACACACACACACACACACATACACACACACACACACACTCACACACACACACACATATATATATAAAATACATTTTACGTTCATTCCAAAATATCCATAAATAATATATAACAAATTTTGTGTTTTTTTGGCACAATTTCCTGGCTGCGACTCTCTGATTGGTGGATTTTCTGTACATTATTCTGGGTAATGTAGTTTTTCACCACGAATTCACTATTTAACATGATTATTTAAAAAATAATGGCTTCAACAAAAGCATATTCCATTAATTAACAACTTCTGAAACCACACCAGTTCTGTCTTTAACTGTTAATAAGTTATCATTTCCCTATGGAGAAAACGAATGGAGATTTTCCCTCCAGAACGGGCTTCTGTGCTCTATTAGTGATAGATTGATAAAGCATCAGCCTGGCCAATGAGCCGCCTGATATTTGACCATTTTGAGACCATCGGCTTTGGCTAACAGCATGCATTTTTCATTTAATTTCTGCATATCACTCGTGATATTAGCAGAAATCACAAAACCAGGTGCGGATTTACCCATTAGGCAAAGGTAGGCGACCGCCTTGGGCCCCCAAAAGCCAAGGGCCCCCTAAAATGCTTTTCATATAGGATATGCGCTTTAAGCGCTGACACGCGAACGGTTGCTGTTTACGGTGTTTATTACCACGACAGCCGTCCGAGTTAAACGTGCTTCTTGTGTACCCTGCTTGAAGGAGATGAAAATATTATGCATCTGAAGCTGTAATTAAATATTGAGAAACAGTGTGTATTATATGTTTATAATTGTTTTAAATGCCGCTTACTCATTTATGAGAAGGAACCAAGTAGAGGACAGTGTAAATACAGTGTACTTAGGCGTGTAAATGTATAATTGCCTTTTCATTATTTTTTCAGTTTTATTTAAATTTGTAGTTCAAATAACTAAAAATAAATGTATTTTAAAGTTTTAGACCGTCTTTGCACACAGGCTTACGCCTGTAACTCATCAGTGGAATTTCCTCGTCAATATAGGCTATATTTTTTCACACTATATTTCTGACGTTCCAAAAGCGCCCCCTGCTGGCAGAGAATGAATGTTCATTTTCAATTATCCAGTCTGTAGTTTTTGTTCAAACCAATGCGAAAATCCACCCACATAACCCCGTTTTAAATTAAAATAATTTATACTTCTGATTCACCCCTGGTTTAAACGCACAATTTATCATTTTATAATTTATTTTGTTTTTGTGAAAACCTCAACTGTACATCAGTTGCTATTTCGTGGTCTACAGCATGAAAGAAAGCCATTATAACATGTACATGAAAAATGTAGAAGCATTGGACACAACTATGGGGCACCATTGAGCAGCAGCAAGCATCACAACAAAAAAGGAACCTCAAGGTTGATCTAGAAAATTGTGTGCAAATATATGGGGCCCCATTCCTATATCTTGCCTGGGGCCCCCAGTTCACTAAATCCGGCCCCGCACAAAACCCATAGCTGTGCTTTTCATGTCCAAGTGAATCTGAAACAGCTCCTGCAGTATAATTCGGGAAGATTTGGGGTTTTTTCCTGTGCTGGAAATACATCAAAGGAGCTTTTTTTTTTGGAAACCTCCCAAATGTCAAAGATATCCGCTGACCACAGGCCGGTGAAAGAGTGTTTCTTTTGGAAAGTGACTCACCAGCGGCGGCACAGATCCACATCCACATCCACGACGAGCCCATATTCCAGAAAAAGAGGAAAAAGAAAGAGTCAGCATGTACATGAGTGATCAAGACCTCAAACAGCTGCAGCATTAGACATCTACATGTGTTGACTTTGACTCACAATGCTTTTGTTAAGTTGACATGTCCTGCAATGCGACATGATTTATAGCATCAAAAACAACATTTTGATGATTTATTATGCACACGCTGTTATGAGCTCATATTAATTGAGACTACATGAAAATCAAAGGAATGATATACACCTACAAGTCATTTATTATTACACCACGTGACCATTTAAAATGACCTGGCAATTAAAAATGTTGAAAACAAAACCTGAAGGATTTTCATGTCAGATTAATCATTGATTGCCCACCTCTCAATAAATTTGCATGTGCCAACATCATATTTTTTTGTGTTCAAAAACATAAATCCATTATATTTGACGATTCTAGTCATCTGGAAGAACAATAGCAAAAGTTTAACTTTTTTGGATTAGCTACTGAGTTTCCAAAGTCACATGATATTTACATCATGGCATCATGTATGTAATTATTTCTCAAATGCGTTAGTAGACTACGAGACTGTGGGGAAATCGACATCACCTGACTCAGACGATCCTTTGACAGAAGAGATGTTGATCCCGTTTGAGCTCCAAACACACGCTGTAAGGACTCGAGAAGAAAAAGAGCGTCTCACCTGAAGATCCACTTTCATTCGCAAGCTTGCTTGGGCGGAGGCTGGTGCGGGAAGGCCACGCCCCCATTTCCTGCTATTGGGTCGCTGCCGTCTTAGCCACGCCCCAATGTAATCCCCTCCTCCCTGGCGTCATATCGGTGTGGCATCTGTTTTTATTTAGTTTTATTTTACATGTAAATATATAGTTGATTAATATTTTTATATATATTATTATATTTTTTTATAAATGTATATATGTGTATATATATATATATACATATTACCTGGAACTGTGAAAGATGTCATTGTTTGTATTATGTTCTTGTTCTTTGAAGCTTAATGTAAGTGTCATTGTATGTGTTACAGAAGAATCAAAAAAGAGTTCAGCCTATCTTCTTGAATTTATTATCCACTGTAATATTTTATCTATTTTATGTGTATAAATGCAGCTAGATTTTGCACACACAGCAATCATGGCCCATTTAAACCTTTGCACGGATGTTAATGTTTATTATATTCTATATTAATACGTATGT